GTATGTCCTCGGGATGGTATCTCCCCTGACGATGGTATCTTCCCTAACATCCCCTCTCTCTTGGGCCAATTTATATTATTTTCTATCTTTTAGGTGGAGCTTGAGTGGCTCTAGTCAAGCATATCTTAGTTATGATTGGTGTAAAGTTTTCCCGTCTCCGTTTAAAGTAATAGGCTCCGAGAAATTCAGAGCGCATGCTCAGTGAGGGGTGGTCGCACCTTGGAGGCGGGTAGCTTTTGGGATGGAGGTGTGTTTTGGTATTATAATGATATTATAATGAGCAAAAAGTACACTAGGGTACAGCATTTGTCAAAACATGACAGGTCTTTGGCTTAGGGTGGCAAAAAGTGCAGCTTTGTGCACAAGAACAATCGAGGCCCCACCTGATTACAGAGCCTAGCCGTGGTGTCTCCACTCCACTCCACGCTCCGTGGTGTTCCTTAGAGCTAGCACACCAAGTTTCCCCAGCGCGATAGCATCTAAGGTTGGGAGCCTAGGGAATGCTCAGATAATGCAGTTATGCCCTACCCTGAAAGCCTCTTCAATGCTGTACCTTTTCCTTAAAAGTGTGAATGTTAGTTTTATTTTCCTAGTTACTTCAGGCATTTACACCACAGTGGAGCTCGCAAACCATGCTGCCACAGAAGTTTGCAGGGGATCATGAGCTCCCTCAAGCACAGAGTGTAATTTGAATATATGATACATGGATACTTTCATCATGCAGCACAAAGACAGTGACATTGTTGTGGATTGTGTATGATTAATGGTGGATGTGCAGCGTAGGTTTAGAACTGTGTAAATCACTCAAATTTTTTAGCATCTTGAGCAATAAGACACATTCCCACTTGAAGCTATGTGGAGAGGGCTTGGCTCAGGCCTCATTTCGAAATAGTCAAGGGAAACACCTGTGTCTCTGTTAGCATGAGGCATGGCCCATAGCTTCTTACTTTGGCTATTTTTCTCCTGACTGCACAACTTATGTCCTGGCAGCAAGATCTCCTGAGGTCTTTTGTTTCATTTGAATGCTTATTTAGCTTCCATCTGAGTTATACAACAGGGCTTGAAGTGTTTATAGTAAAAGCTACAAAGATAGCAGTCATACTGAAACCACTTCGCAGGTAAACATGATGAGAGCTGATGTACATAAACTAATGAACAGGAAGGGAGAGAGAAGAGCATTTCCATTTCTCACTGGATTAGTAAGTCAAAGACTATATCCCTGATTGAGCCAGTTTTCTCTCTCAAAGCACCATACACAGAGGCTTTTACTTATCCTTAGATGGAAAAAAAACAATGCTGGAAGACTCCAGAGCACAGTGCTGTTTCCCATTTCTCACACAGCTTTTCCCTTCTATTGTTTGAAGAAGAGCACAAATCCTACCAACTTATTCTTTCCTCCCCCAGAATTCACTGCTAATAACCTTCACAGCCTAACTCTTACAATAATTATTAATAATAATAATAATAATAATAATAATAATAATAATAAATATTACAGTAAGTACTACCTTCTGAATTCCAAAAATGGTGAAAAAGCAAGAGAGTGGTTCTTCCACAGCTGATCCATCAGAAAGGGTCTCCTAACACCACCATTCACTCATACTGTTTGGGCCAAATACTGCAGACTCTGTGGTGGGATCTACTTTTTCATCTTGAAGGGCTGCCTGCTGTGTCAGTTGGCCCTATTGTGCAATGGCAAATTATACAGCCCCTTTATATTCATGACCGTTCTCTTCCTCACCATTTCAGCTTGCTGGAGTTTAAAAGACATAGCTGGAAGGAGCTCATCTAGAACATCCTGGTGAGCAACTCATTCTGAAATCACTAATGCTGTTTGCCCATCTCAGTATTATTTAAAAAATAGAAACAAAAATATTTTCTCAGCTTTTTGAATAGCAAAACTATGTCAGATATTATCCCTCCACCCTTAAAAATTTGTGGCAAGGCAGTAGGCAGAACTCAGGAGAAAAACTGAGGAAACTGGTTAGCTCAGAGGGCCAAAACAGGGCTAGACTGGGAAAAAAACATCTGGGGTCAAGTCAAAGTAGCAAGCACTTTCCTCAGGTGGTCCAGAATTTTCACAGATCTTGCAGCGTGAGCCTTGCTGGAGACCTCAGTGGTGCATGGAGATATAGCACCGCTGGCCCACACCCAGGGCCTACAGTGTTGTTTATCCTGCCCTTTACAGCTTCTGCCTTGTTTAAGTGCAACAGGGCAGTTTGTGAACTCCTAGCAGATCACCACAGTTCAACCTTCAGGATTTGTTGGAGGAAGTGGACAGAATATTGAATGCATGCAGTTTTTCTTCTGGAAAGTTACATGCTTCTTCAAAAATAATTGGGAGTAGAGCACAATTTTAGAGCATAATACTGAGTGCTAGAGAGAGAAACAGATATAAGCATTTGCTGCCTCCTTTTCCTCCCCTATTGAAAACACACAGAAAGAATTGCCTTATCTCCATCTTCCTTGAATATCCCTGAAGATCAAGAGGCTGATAGTCAAAGGTATTATAAATTCCTCTGTAACTCAGCTTTCTGGCTGGTATCTGTAACTGTGTGCTTGCCTCAAGCTTTATCCAATAATTAATCAGATTGCCTTGGTCACACATACTTGGACTGTAAAATTCCTCTGCAAGAGACACTCACAACCAGCCCTGACTCCATACACACAAGGGTCTGATTTATTCATCACTTTGGCCTGAGTAGAAGCAAAGCTATTGTTTTTCACCTGGGGTCTGAGCCGGCACTCATTGATGTCAAAGGCAGCGCTCCCATTGACTTCCATGGGACGCAGGATCAAGGCTTTCGCCCACCAGCAACTGACAGTAAGTCGTGCTAGTAGGGAGGGCAAGTCTCCCAAAGGCAATTTAGAGTGAAACAAATTTACCATTGTGTGCTATGTTACAGGAGATGCTCTTTATAATCAAACCATCCAGCCTCAGTATTAAGGTACCTATGCTGAACAACTGTGCCACAGTGGCTAAGTTCCCAAACATCCAATACAGCCTCTGTTAAATTCAGTATAAAACCCTGAGGTCATTTCCATCTTTTCTTTCTCTTTTTCTCTCCTTTCTTTCTTTTACCTTCCTTCCTTCCTTCCTTCCTTCCTTCCTTCCTTCCTTCCTTCCTTCCTTCCTTCCTTCCTTCCTTCCTTCCTTCCTTCCTTCCTTCCTTCCTTCCTTCCTTCCTTCCTTCCTTCCTTCCTCCATTCTTCCCTTCCTCCCTTCCTTACCTCTTTCCTCTCTCCCTTCCTTTCTTCCATCTTTCCTTCCTTCGTTCCCCTCCTTCCTTCCAGTCTCTCTGCTGTCTGTATCCTGCCAGCCCCTCTACCACTTCCTCTCTCTTCCTTTCCTGCTTTCTTTCATAGGGAAATTGTTCTGGTTTTGCTTCAAAATGCAAGACAACAATTCAGAATTTCATAATTTTGATTATTAGTCAAATACCTTTTCTTTAGTCACAATGTGAGATTCTGCTTTCTTCCACATGTTCAATAGGGCTAGCTATCCTTGTGGTTTAATTCTGCTTTTTTCCTCTCTTTGCTTGGCTCCAATGTACTAAAATGTCCCATCTCCCATCATTTGAAGGTTAGAGGTGACTGGTTTATCTGGAGTTCACTTCAGTTATATTGACGCACACACGCTGAAGCTGGCATGCTTGGGCCTCCGATCTCCAGCTCTGAAAGCTGTTTCCACACCATAAGAGGAGGGGAGGTAGGCTGTGACCCATCATAGGCTGTCTATACTCTAAAATAATGGAGAATGTGATAAACTGTCACCAGAAGACAGTCTCAGCTCCCTGACTCTTAATGGTAGGATAACACAATAGGGTCAGACTAAAAAGGTTTCCTTATGAAAATTTTATCAGCAACTTTGGTAAATTGCTGTGGGAAAGGTGCTTTGCTCTCAGGCAGACCTGGAACCTGTTTTTACAAGGTACAGCTCGCATGCATTGCCTCACCCCCGCAAGATATTAAGGGCACTCAAATTGAATTAACACCAAATCAGGCCGGTGCACTTAACAATACAAATGCACTTAAGGGATGCCTCAGAATGATTTGTGACTAAAGAAAGCAAAGAAGAAATCAGCCTTCAAGACCACAGGGGTGGTGTTGTGTGTCATATACAGGAAAAGCCATAAGCAGAACTTAGAATACCGGAAAACCATGAACTTCAAGGGCTCTCAGATACCTTAGACCCAGCCATAAAGTAGATGGTCTCTTTTGTGGTATGCAGAAACAATTGATAAATAAATTACAGCCAATTTTCTTAGTGGGACAGTCTCCATTACCTCTGACAGCAGCATAACTGCTTTGCTAAAATGATAAGAGGTGAATAATGGTGTATCAGGTAACAGCAAAGGAAATTCTCCTAGTTGCCTGTTCTCTCCGTAAGAGCAATGACACAATGCAGGAGTGAATGGGATGGGATGTGGCAGCTGACAGGGAGTTCTATGTGAACCGCTGCTAAGGTCAAAGCAGACGGAACTATAATTCTGGTAAAAGAAGGGAAGCAGTGGTGTTTTGTTTATCTGTTGAAGTGTCATTCATTTTTTCAGGAAGCCAGCTTTGTTTGCCACCATTTTCCATCAGGTTATTTAATTACTTCTGTCTCTGAGCTTGCGGGCCATATTCTCCCTTAAGTTAGGGCATGACACCACAAAGTTTAGACTACAGCCAAAGAAAAGACTCCAGATAAGTTTCTGAGGCCAGAATCTCTGTCTTGTGACTAAAGTGGTGTTCGTTCTGGTGGGGTTTCTGCTGTTTTCTTTTGCTGTTGTTGGAAAAATAAAAATAAAAATGGCTGACTCAGCACAACCCTCAGATTTTCCTTGGATTAGAAGGAGGTTTAATACCGACTATTTCAGCAATCCATTTGTAAAATCTTGAGGATGATGTGAAAAGCAGGATGAAGTTTGACTTGATATTTACACATTATACAACTGGAAGTTCTGAAACAAGGAAGGATTTGTGAAAACTACACGACTGTTGAACAAGACACATACCTATTGTAGCATTCGGCATCAAGGAAAACATGAGGAAGTGCCATTTGTCTGAGCCTGAAATGGCAGGATGGCTCACAGACTGAGGACTGCATGTACCCACTTCATCTGCTGAGTGCTAAGAGGTAAGAGAGGGGTATCCCACATACCTACAAAATCCAGCAAGGATCCTAGCATCCTGTGGACAGAGGAAGAAAGAAAACATGACATTGAGCATTCAGGCCCTGGGTGGTGGGTCATCACTGGAGAGGACTCTCCGCACACACCTTCCCCCCACACTTGGTGCTGCCAGCCCACAGTGTATGTACCTCATCCCTTCAGGAGAAAGCCAGTCCAGCATGGCAGGGAGTCTGCTATGGAGCAAACACAGCCTGTTCCTTTTGCACAGCCTGAAAAACAAGTCCTAGAGAGGAGTCAGCTGGAGGCATTCAGGACAGAACAGACCTTTTTCCCATTCCTGCATCCCATGGGAAAGCAGAGTAGCCAGGACACAGGCTGATGGTCTCAGGGAGCCAGACTCCCAGCACAGGAGGGCAATCCCTTACAGAGGCGAGAAAGGCAGACACTTCTCCAAATATTCATCCAGGCCTTACCCTTACTAGGGTAAAAAACATGCTGTGGCTGCTGAACCGTATGACCCACTAGATGTCCTTCTTAACAAATGTTTTTATGAAATTAAAAAAAAAAAAAAAGACTGTGAAAAAGGACTGTGCAGCAGTTTCCCTTTAATTCAGACCCAGCTTCATCTTCTACTCGTGGTATGCTTATTAATACCTCTCAGAATATTAATCAAATATGTCCCTTAATTTTTATTTTTATTTTTATTTTTTTGTTAACACTCGAGAGATATTTGAATTAACATCTAAAAGAAAAGGATCAAAACCAGAATTTCACTTGTGGTTGGTTTTTTTTGTTTGTCCCTGGAGAAAATTCAATGCTTTTTTTTTTAACTTGGGTTTTTGAAACATTTCTGGTGACAAACTAAGCTTTATAAATTGGCAGACTGAAATACGATTGTACACGTAATAAATAATCCGTGTGAGTCAAAACTAATCAAACTAACAGATACAATATAGAAAGACTAATGCACAAAAAATAATCATTAAAACTCAATGTTTTCTTATATAAGTCAGATTCCAATGATCTGCTTTAACTTCGGTTTCTTTATTTTCATTTGAGGCACACTTTTATATCAAGTTTCTCTGTAAAACCAGTGAATGGAAACTTACTAAATGATTAATAACAATAAATGATTAATAGGTGTTGAAATAAATGATCAATTGTTTTAAAATTGAGTCAGTCAATAGGCTGCTAACCATTATTAAAAACTATGCATTACACCTCCTGGCATAACCTTCATATCACTTGTTACTACAAGGCTTGTAGCTTTTTTTCAACTCTAGAAAAAGTTTATTAACCATTTACAAACTAGATAGGAATTAAAGCATATAGAATGTAACAGGAGCACCATGTGATCAAGTGATCAGTGGCAGCTGAACTGGATTCTCTGATGATGCAAGAAATAAAAGTCCAGAAATCTCACGTGTGTAAGAGAACCACAGAACCTCAGCTGAGGTCAGATGGGGCTTTTGAAGGCTGTCTGATCCAACAACCCTGCTCAAGCCAGGGCCACACAGAGCAAGCTGCCCAGGACCATGTCCAGATGGCTTCTGAATATCTCCAGGAAGGGAGACTCCACAACCTCTCTGGGAAACCTGTTTAGTTCTCAATCACCGGCACTGTGCAGAAGTGTTTCCTGATCCTGATCTTTCAGTTTGTGCCCGTTGCCTCTTGTCCTGTCACTGGACACCAATAAAAGGAGCCTGACTCTATCTTCTTTGCACTTCAGGTACTTGTACACATTAATGAGATCCTCCTTGAGCCTCCTCTTCTCTAGGCTGAACAGTCTCAGCTCTCTCAATATTTCCTCATACGAGGGATGTTTCTTCCATTCTGTTCTCCATTTTGAGGCCCTTTACTGGACTCTCTCGAGTAGTTGCATCTCTCGCTTGTACTGGGGAGCCCAGAACTAAGCAAAGCACTCCAAGTGTGTCACCACCAGTGCTAAGCAAAGGGGAATGCAATACTTATGCTTAATGCAGCCCAGGGTACCATTCACCTTCTTTGCAGTGAGGGCACGGTGCTTGCCCATATTCAGTTCTTTGTCCACTAGGACCCCCAAGACATTTTCTGCAAAGTTGATCAACACACAGGTTTATCAAACACCTGACCAAAGTTCTATAAAATACTACCTATTCTACAGTACATTTCAGATTAACTTGAATTAACAGTGAAAAGGCATCCATTGAACTCAGAAAGTTCAAACTTTGTTCAAGAGAAAACTAATGAGAACTTCAAGATTCTAGTCTACTCCCTTGGAACTGTCACTTAAGTGAAAGTTGCTTAACTTTGTCTAAACACATTTTTATTAAGTATTCAATGGGCCATTAGAATATGACAATAGATCCCAGCAACTTTATCCTCCAGGACCAATTTAAATAACCACAACTGAGGGGAAAAATTAATGTGTTGCTCACCCTAAGAGTTAACAAAAGTTAGTAATACTAAAAGTTAATAACTGCGAAACAAGGAGACAAAACATTGTTTGGTTTGGAATAAATCCTGTCCCATATTCTGTGGCACTTTAAATTAGCTCATTGTATTTTATGAGCATTGAAGCTTCCCCCTCCATCAGTCAACCCCTTCTATTGGTTTAATTTTAATACATGCTGTGAAGTTATATCCCTTGAAATCGTTGGCTTGTCTGAAGGTCCCCAGACACTCCGTCCTCAGTTCTCTCTCACAGTAACATTTGCTCTTCTCCACTCACGTCTTAAGTCATTACTTAGCTGTTTCTAGACCACAGAAACTTATCAGTCACAACAGGAGAGTTTTCTCTCTCTTGTATTCATACTCAGCAGGAGAACACAGAATAAATTTCCTCTAATGTGCATCTGTGTATGTGTACATATAACCTACACACTCTGGTGAATGTAACAATCTAATTTAGGACTTACATTGGCTCATGAGGTGGTTTGCTCTTTTTTTTTTTTTTTTTTCTTTTTTTTTATTGCCTGTAAGTTCTCCCTCCAACCAAGAAACAGGGAATATAGTTTCTCCCCCATCTCTGACCACAAAGCTGGGCAAGAGTTTCACATTATATTTATCACATTACATATGGAGGTAAATTTCACATTACATCCAAAATGTATTCAGCAACTGGGTAAATTTGCATGGACTGCTACACTTCCATAAACCCCCCTGATATTAAAATATAAATATCTGTGTCACTGGAAATTCTTGTGGTTGCAATAGTCAGTGTCAGTGTCACCACCTAACTGTTAGGCAGATCAGTCAAAATCCTATTATGACAAGAGAGAAGATATATTAATCTTTCTACCATGCACAAAGTTTCTGAGAGCATAGGCCAATGGAGAGTGGTGAGCTACATTTAGTTAACCAGTTCTCATGTTGAAAGGAGATGGCACGTGTATACAAAACTATGTGAAAGACTAGATTTCCAACTCCATTTCAGAAAAGAAAACATTTGAATATTTTTGTGTTTTTAGACTGGGGAGGAAATAAAAGGAATAGAAAAAATGGAAAAAAATACACTCTTACATTGACTAAGTCATTGCTAAAGCTACATTTTTTGTCATTGTTCCTGAGTCAGACAAGGAGTTCATGTTTTTCAGAAAATTATCCATGAGTGCTGACACTTTGGGACTTTTTGGATGTGGGTGGGTGGCTGCAGTGCTAACCAGTGGAATCCATTTCAGAGAAACCCTTTGCTGCTGCTGTCAAGTCCTAGTCTGCAATGGAATATGACAAAGAACAGGAGCCCAGCACAACCAACACAATGACAAAGTGTCCTGGAACTGTGAACTCTCCCTGAGATTGCCTGGAGCTTTCTCCCTCCCATGAAGAAAACAAAAGGTCTATTTTTTTTTTCTTTTTTTTTTTTCTTTTTTTTTTCTTTTTCCCTCTCTCCCATATTTAGAACCATAGCTTGTTTCAAAGGTTGGGTCTGCATGGTGGTCAATGCAGTCTCCATATGGTATTTATTTATTTATTCCTTGTCTAAAATGTTTTTGGCGCAACATATTTGCATGAGTTAGATGGTGTTTATAGAAAACCTGAATATTGGAGTTCATAGAGAAGATCATTGGCTTATTCTTTCTCACTTTTTATTGAATTTTCCTCACTTGTTTCTGCTGCTACTCATTTAATTTGCTTATAGGTATTGATTTCTTTGGGAATTTTTTTTTTTGGGGGGAGGGTGTTTGTTTTGTGCTTTATTTTGCTTTCTGTTTTTTTTTTTTCTTTTTCTTTTTCTTCCTCACTCTCTCTCTCTCTCTTTTTTTTTTTTAACATGACTGTTCATGTCTTCTCTATAAAAGCTTCAGACAACCCTATTATTAAAAAGTATGAGGGTGATTTTGCCTGTAGAAGAGTCTCCTGGAGCTAGAGCCCATTCCTCCTCTGGGTGCAAAACTTTCCTTCATTCTCTGAAAGAGGAAATTTGATTTTGTTTGAGTTTTCTTATAAAGCACAACACCATCAGAGGCTGCACATCCCACTCACAGACTTAAACACCATATTTACTACCTTTAGCAAACAACTGTCTTACCTACTTGCAGTATTTGTGGAAAACCTCAGTTAACACATCCTCCAGTTTAATATAGGTCTGTGGAAAAGCTCCAATTCAGAAAAAGCACTGGCTCCCTGTTTCTTCCCCAAATGACTCAGCCTACCTTCAACACTGTAGGAAGCCTTTCATCATACTCATTTCTGAATTATGCCAAATGACACAAAGGTTAGGTTGCTCTGCAGTTGAATATTCGTGGTTCTCAGCAGAGTATATGAAGAAGTACTTTTTACTGGTCATCTTTTAGGTCATCTTCAAATGGTTAAGATTCTGGTAAGGAAAATTTTTTTGACTTTTTATGTATATCATAGAATCATAAAATCATAGAATGGTTTGGGTAGGAAGGGACCTTAAAAATCATCTAGTTCCTACTCCCTGGCATAGGTAGGGATGCCACCCACTATGACTTCATCCAGGCTGGACTTGAACATCCCCAGAGATGGGGCATCCACAGCTTCTCTTGGCAAGCAGTTCCAGGGTGCCACCACCCTCTGAGTGAAGAATTTCCTCCTAACATCCAAATTAAATATCCCTTCTTTTAGTTTAAACCCATTTCCCCTTGTCCTGTCATTGTCTGATTGAGCAAAAAGTTGCTTTCCATCTTTTTTTAAGTCCTTTTTAAGAACTGAAAGGCTGTGTGTGATAAGGCAGAACCTGTCTGAACAACGGCAGATCTCTCAGCCTGTCTTCATATGAGAGGTGCTCCAGCCCTCTGATCAGCTTCACGGCCCTCCTCTGGACCCACTCTGACACCC